TGTGGTGCCCACTACATGATTGGGTGGAACTATGCAAATATAAGGTGGTTGTGGCCCAACAAAGGGATTGGATAGTTTGCTAATAATGTAAATAAGGTACATGGCACCCTTATGGTGGTTGGAGTGTGTAAACAAGGTGTATAGAACCCTAATGTGGGGATTAGGCAGTTTTGTCATTCTGTTAGGCTTAAAATGAGCCTGCCTAGAGAGACTCGACAGCACATAACAACAACAACAACAACAACAGAGGGAGAGATTGGGGATATCTCACTGCCATAGAAGAGAAGAACCAGAGGTGGAGTGAAGCATGTCCTGGGACTCGAGATACCTGTGCTAGGCCTCCTTGGCAGAGACCTGCAGAGAGTGGGCAGAAAGACAGCAGAGAGATGGCAGCAATGGAGTCATGAGGCATGAGACAGAGTCTGGGTTTGCTGGCCCACGGTGTGAGAAAGCTGAGTGCCTTTAGGCAAGAGGCTTGCTGGGGGGGTGGGTACACCTGTCAGCAGAGCTAAAAGACCTTAGTTGACACTTGCCTAAACAGAGCAGATGCCAGGCCGAGAGGCCAAGGGCCAAAGAGAGGTGTGTCTTTGGTCATGGCTGAGGGGAAGTTGTCCTAATTGAAGAATTGTATGCTGAACATTCCTGAACGTGAATTGTAATCTGTTACTTTCCTAATAAACCCCATGATCATGAGTATTGTCTTAGTTCTATGTGGCCATTGCAATGAATTATTGAACCCAGCAGAGAGTAGTGAATGCTGTGGGAGCGATGGCTGGTGTCAGAATTGGTAAAAAGTCTGAAGGGTGGTGGCATGTCTGGCCTCATGGAAATAAGCCTTGGGCTACTGATGGTGATTATCTTTCCACCTTGTGAAGTTAGAGGAGGTCAGAGGATGTCGCTTCCATGCCCTTTTCACAAACGTCCATTCAGAAATTCATAAAATCAAGATCAATATGTTAAGACAGCTCAAACCAGCAATATTCTTTTTTATTTAATCCTCTAGAAAGGCTTATATAAAACATTAAGTAGTCACATTCACCAATTTACTTTTTATAAAATCAGCAGCAGTCTTCAGCATACTAGGAGACAAAGGGCTCCATGGAAACCCAACTGTAATCTTCAGTAAACTAGGTGGATTCTTGCTCCATTCAATAGTCCAAGTCTTCATCAAAGTATCGCAAAGGTTGAACTAAAGTCATAAATAGAAAAATGTTATTTTTCTCTTCATACATATACACATGGAAGGATGCGTTACATTGTAGCACACACACACACACACACACACACGCACGCACGCAGAACTTCATATATACTTTAAAGACTATTATATTTTCCTGAACTGAAAACTTAAATGCAATTTCAGATTTTCAAACTTTGGTGTGTGTTAAGAATTACTTCTATTCCATAGAACTACAGTGGGGCCTAGAAATGTCATTTTTAAAGCATCCCTATGTGATTCTTAAGCAGTGATTCAGTAGCAACTGTTCTTTTTTTTTTTTTTTTTAACTTAATCATTATTTATTATAGCAGAATAATATTCATATGTTTGAGATTATGAAATCTAATAATCATAATATCACAGTCAGTCATAGTCCACCTCAGTTTACACTCTCCTGCTCTCCCTCCTAACTTGTGCCCTTAGGCCCTACAGTTTCCTACTGCTTGCTTCAAATTAGTCAATAGCTGCTAAGTCCTGGAAATAAAGTGTACTCCACCCTGGGATGCTATTAAAGGCTGAGTCCAGGTCAGCTCATGTTCTCTGATTTCTTCCCTTCATCGGCACCAATATGAACTCTGTGTGAAGCCCTCCAGCATGATCCTTTCTAGGACTTGTAAATAATAAACTGCCATTTCCTCATTTTGGTTGTTTAATGTTGAAGTGCGGCTTCCTATCTGGAGAAACCCCTCATTCATGCAGGTGGTCCCACTATCTGACCCTCTCTGGGTGGCTATGTTTTTCCACTTACACTAGTCTTTCATTTACCTATTTATGTTTTTCCACTTACACTAGTCTTTCATTTACCTATTTATATTTATCTAATATCAACGCAATATATATATACTCCCTCCAAAAAACAAAACAAATATATCAAAAACACAGTTACCATCCATGGCGACCCCATGGTTTTTAGAGTGGAACTGTGACCCATAGGGTTTTCAATGGCTGTGATCTTTCAGTAGATCACCAGACCTTTCTTCCAAAGCAGCTCTGCATGGATTCAAACCACCAACCTTTTGGTAAGTGGCCCAATATTTTAACCATCTGTGTCACCGAAGGACTCCTTTATAAGTACTATTTAAAAAGAAAAAAAAACCCAAACTCACTGGTTTCCTAGGCAGTATCACTATGGAAGTAGATTGCCCAATCTTCCTTCTGAGGAGTGGCTGGTGAGTTTGAACTGCCAGCCTTCTGGTTAGCTGTCAGATGCCTTAGGCACTATGCCACCAGAGCTCCCTGATACATACTATACGCATGAAGATTTTTGTAAATGTAAACATTATATTTTCTAATATGATCACATAAATGCAATCATATTTTTTCATTTCTATAGATGATTTTTCCTTTTCTGATTGGTTGTGCCATAATTTTTCCAACCACTACCCGGTGGTGAATGTTTGGTATTCACTGTTTCTAGCTTTTGGCTACTGTGGACAACATTGGCGGGGGGGAAATCCTTGTGCGTTATGTTCTTAGATACTGATGGCTTTGTTTGTGTAGAAGCTCTCAGCTCTTGGGTCAAAATACTTGTGACAGCATATTTTATTTAATTTTAATGTCAGCTGTCAAATTTCTTTCTTCGAAGGCTACCACACCACATTTCTAATAACAATGCCCGAAAATACCATTTTTCCTCTATTCCACCAGCAATAAGTATAGTTTTTAATTTCTGTTAGTATGAATTATATAAAGTGAGATCTCATTGTTAACTATAATTTGAGTTTTCCAGAAATTGTGGAAAATAGTGAATTTTGAGCATTCTTTTCCTTATGTATATAGATCATTTGAAATTCCTTTTTGAGAATGCTTGTCATAGACTTCGTCCAATTATTTGTTGAATTTTTGTCATTGTCTTAACAATTGATGATTGATCATGTGTATATATATGGAGCTCTGGTGGTATAGTGCTTAAGGCATTTGACTGCTAACTAGAAGGTTTGTGGTTCAAACCCACCAGCCACTCCTTGGAAGACTGGGTAATTTACTTGTGTAGAGATACCGCCTCGGAAACCCAAGGAGGGGTCACTATGAGGAGAATCGACTCAATGGCAGTGAGTTTGGTTTTTTGGTTTTATAACATCTTGTACAACTTTACCATAGCATGCAGATATAATTCTTGTTTGTTTGATAAAACTACCCCCATAATCTCTAAAAGAAGATTTATTCATATTTATTTACCTATTTTCTCTTTAGCTCCATGGTTGTACCATTGTTATTGCTTAAAATAATATGAAATTAAGAGATAAGCAAGGCTTATATTGATTTTAAAAAAGCTGCTATATGTTCTTTATATATACAAATTTTATATATATTTCATTCATATATGTATATTTATATATACAGATACATGTATGTATATGGGAATATATCTGTATATGAATTCCTTCTTCCCAATATCTGTTTCATGTTACATGTACTTTTGGAAGGCACATTTTCTTTTGGCTAAATGTTTCTAAGATTCATAAACATCTCTATATGCCTTCAAAGTATATTAACAGTGAAATATATGCATATTTTGATTGAAGCTATTTTTTAAAAAATATTTTGTTTTTAAAATAGATTAATTTATTTTTAAATTTGTAAAAAAATTAAGACTATTTATTCATCTTAATAGATGCATATATAATTTGTGATTCAAAACCAAAAAAAAAATAATCAAACTCACTGCCATCGAGTCAGATCTAACTCATAGCAACCGCTCCTTGGGTTTCCAAGGCAGTATCACTGAAGAAGTACATTGCCCAATCTTCCTTCCAAGGAGTGGCTGGTGGATCTGAACCACCAGCCTCCTGGTGAGCAGTCAAATGCCTTAAGCATTAGGTCACCAGAGATTATTATATGTATATCTGCTAATTTCATTTACTAATATTTTTTCCGACAATTACATTTCTCTTGAATTGCTTTCCTAAAAAAAAATTTTTTAAGTAATAATCTCCAAGTTTAATCAGATATTTACATTGTTATGTGTTATCTTCTGCTATCAACATATCACATACATCTGTCATTTCTAAATAACTAGACAAATGAAGTTATGTATTTTTGTAACTTTCCAGTCTTGTTATTAAAACCTTAAAACTTTTATTATTCAAAGGATATTGATAGCAGTATATAGATAATTTTTGACCTTCAAGTCAAGATTTTAATATCAATTCACTTAATGAAGTAATTATTTGATGTGTACACATGTTCAAGCTGTTGAGTACAAGCCTTAAATGCTAGCTTGATGTTTGCTACTATTGTTCTTGCATATTTTGCTAGCAACCTATATTGAGGGACATGATAAATCAGCAGTTATAAGAAAGACTTGATGTTTTTAATCTAAGCAGATTGAGAGCATACTTTTAACTACCTTAGTCTGTGTCCTGTAAAGCATTTCATTGCTAACCAGAAGGTTGGTGGTTCAAACCCACCAGCTGCTCTACAGGAGGAAGATGAGGCAATCTACTTCCGTAAAGATTTATTATAGCTTTGGACTTTATGGGGATCACTATTGGTCAGAATTGACTTGATGGAAGTGAGTTTTTTAGTTGGTGTCCTAGTAATGATCGCTGGTGAAATATCTCTTATATTTCAACATGAGAAATTATTGTCTGCTCTTTTGGTGAAATGCTTTATGGCACACACTCAATAGTCAATCCCTCACTTCTCCTCATCTATTCTTAACCCAAAGTGGCCTAGAACTTGAGGCAAAATACTGAGTTGATACCTGAGAAGCTCTCAGGAATGTACCTGATTTGAACATTGATGATAAATAAATTCTGGTACTCACCTCTCTGGATCATCAATTCCCATTTTCCTTTTCAGTGTGCCTCAGAATGGTCTCCTTTTTCATTTCAGAAATAGGAAGAGATTTAGACACAGAAATTAGTCCAGCAGAATTAAAACCATCTTACTCATCAGGATTTTCTGAAAGGAAGAAAATAATTACTGGGAAATAAATCGGACCTCCCCTAACTGTGCCTTAGAAGCCCTAAGCATCTGACAATGCTGTCTACAATGAGGAAGACAAGCGTCATTGAGGAGACAGAGATAGTCTTTTCCATCCCTTAAATATATGTTCCTGACACAGTAGCAGCAAATACCAAATTCCTTGGGTTGAAGAAGCGTGGCAGGCCCCCCTCAGAGGTAAGTCATATTGAGAAGCCACTAAAGCCTTCATGAAGTAAGGACAGTGGATCCTGGGATATTTTTCTTCCACTCCTGTAGAGTTATTATTCAGGGGCAGGATTAGTGCATTAGTGCTAAACAGAACTCTGCAGACAAAGAAAGAGGCATGATGCAATGGGAATTAAGGTTAGTCTTGTGAATAATGATGGCTTTTGCTGGGATAAATATGTCAGCTTTTAGACTCTTAGATAAAATATGATAAATATCGAGTGAAAGAAAGGAGAGTAACAGGAAATGAGAATGGAAGAAATTGTGAAAAAGATATGAAAGGTAAAAATAACACTGAGGTTAGCCTTTTAGAAGATTGTTGTTGTTTTTATGTGCCCTCGAGTCTGCACCAACTCATAGCGACCCCTACTTGGGTTTCCAAGACAGTATCTCTACAGAAGTAGATTGCCCAACCTTCCTTCTGAGGAGTGGCTGGTGGGTTTGAACCACCAGCCTTCTGGTTAGCAGTCAAGTGCCTTAAGCACTATGCTACCAACCAGAGCTCCTTATAGAAGATTGCTTTCTGTTTTAATAAAATGAATTCCAAGTCTTGTCTAATTTACTAAGGCTTTTGCTAAAGTTTCTCCAAAATCTATCCTTCTCACTGTAGTTGAAGTCCTTTTCATAGTACATAGTTCTTTGCTTCCTCTGTCAGAAATGACACCATGATTGCAATTACTTTGTTCTGTAAGAATAACTTTGAGCTTATTCCTGCCTTTCTTCTACCTTTTAAGTATCATAAGCTTCCTATTATATGTTTTTAGACTTATTTCCATTGATAAGTAAATACAATGTCTCAATCTCAAATTCAGCTACTGGTGTGAACTCCTGGGCTACAGACTGTCAAAGAACCCACAGACCTAAGAAATTCGGTTGGTCCAGATCATCTCCCTTCAGGCAAGAATTCATCTCCCGGTATTGAATTTGGTGGACTGAATTTTCTCCTCTTGATGACACTGATAAGAGAATCCTGTGTTAGAGATCAGCCGGCCATAATACAACTCACCCTCCTTTATGTGCACTTTTTCCCAGCAGTAAAAAATACCTACACTTTCTCCATGGTATTTGCTTACTTCCATCCCATTCCACTACCAAGCTTTCCCTTACAGTGACATACACTGAAATGAAACAGACGTGTGGCTAAACCTTCTCTAATGCCATCGTATAATTCTTCCCTTAAGGTAACCAACAGTCTTGTCTAATTTACTAAGGCTTTTGCTAAAGTTTCTCCAAAATTTATCCTTCTCACTGTAGGTGAAGTCCTTTTCATGTTGATGATTTCAAATTGCTTTTCCTGTCCTTAATGTTGTCCTTCTCCAACCTCTTCTACATCCTGTTGCCAAAAAGATCTTTCTAAATGACATCTTGACTATTTCTTTCTCATAGATAATGTTCTAGTGATTATTCATCTTCTATCATGGAGTATATTTGGTTCTTCCCTCTTCTCTAATCTTATTAATAGCTTCTCTCCTTACACTCAACTTTTGCTCCCCTCCCCCCAAAGAAACATCCTTTATGCTCCTTTGCATTTGCTCACGGTCTTCTCTTCTCCTAGAAGTACTTTACCCAGACTTTGAACTCCTATTTTCAAAATTTGTCTCAAAAGCCTCCTATACTCTCCTGGCCCTTTTAGTTAATTACTCTCTTCTTTGACTATTTTGTTATTTATTCATATTTAATGTATTATACAGTACAATATGCCCCAAATCCCTGTTTTCCTCTAAAATCATGTTTCCTTTTCATTGAGAAATTGCTCAAATCTCCTCCAGGCTTTTTCTTTCTGGACATTTGATACTTGAATCTAATATTTTTCTGTGTTTTATATTTATTTTTGGTTTTTATGTGTAGACATATTATGTTGTTGCTGTTAGTTGCCATCGAGTTGCCTCCGACTCATAGTGACCTTACGTATAACAGAATGAAACGTGGCCAGATCGTATGCCATCCTCATGATCACTGGGGTATTTGAGTCTATTGTTGTGGCTTTTGTGATAAAACATCTCATGGAAGGTTCTCCTTGTTTTCATCACCCTTTCTTTACCAAATATGATGTTCTTTTCTAGTGATTGGTTTTTCCTGATGATATGTGATGATAATGTGTAGGCACATTAAAAAAACAAAAAACTCAAACTGCTTGCCCTTAAGTTGATCCTGACTCACAGCCACCCTACAGGACAGAGTAGGACTGCCCTGTTTCCAAGGCTATAAATCTTTACAGAAGCAGATTGCAATAACTAGAATTCTCCCAGAGTGGCTGGTGGATTCTAATGGCTGACCTTTCAATTAGCAGCTGAATTCTATGTTATAGAGACATAATTTGGCTCAGACCTGTAAATCTCTCTCTCTGTCGTCGCTTCTGAGTCCACAAGAGGAATGCAATGAGAAGGGCCAAGAGAATGACTCCCAGGATCCCCAATACAATGACAGATGAGTGACCTAAGCAAAAATAAAATCGTCAAAGATGATATAAATGCTTAGCTGAAGACCCAGATCTCTAGTTACTATCTCTCCATTTGGTAAAATACAAGATGCTGAAGCAAGTCTCAGATCCTCAGAATTTCTTTGAGCCCAAAGTCTCTAAACAAGAGCAATTCCAAATAATGCAGAGAAATGATCCTATGTTCATAAATGGTCCCATGTTCATAAACTCTATCAAATACCTGTAGAATTTCGTGATTCTCTGGTTACTGCAGGTCCTACAAGAGAAAAGAGAAAAACCCTTTATTCTTGGAATAAGAAATAAATGAAATATTCTATTTCCTTGTCTAAGTTGTTTGTGCTTCTCATCTAAGTAAACCATTTCTTTTTACCTAAAAGTAGAATCTCTTAGTCTTTCTTCCCTCTTTGTGGGGATATTTATATCTACAGCTATATGTCCGACTCAATGGCAAATAACAACAACAACATATCCACATTTATAACTTTATATACACTGCTATTGATTCTGACTCATAGTGACCCAGAGTAGAACTGTCCCACAAGATTTCTGAGGCTGTAATCTTTACGGAAGCAGACTGCCACAGCTTTATCCAACAGAACAGCTGATGAGTTTGAAGCATCAACTTTTTGGTTAGCAGCCAAGTGCTTTAACCACTGTGCCACCCAAGCTCCCTATTATCTATATAGCTATGTTGTTGTTGTTATGTGCTATCGAGTTGGACCTGACTCATAGCAACCCCTACTTGGGTTTCTGAGGCAGTATCACTACGGAAGTAGATAGCCAACCTTCCTTCCGAGGAGTGGCTGGTGGGTTTGAACTGCCAGACTTCTGGTTAGCAGTCAAGTGCCTTAGGCACTACACTACCAGAGCTCCCCCATATAGCTGTAGGTATATCCATATCCAGATCCATATCCATATCCCTATCTACCATCTATCTATAATATGCTTTTGCTTGGTGAAGGTCAATGTATAGAAACAAGTATTTTCATCATACAAACATGATTCTTTCCTCACCAAATCCTTGTGTGGATATGTCCAGTTTTTATGCAATGCATTTTGTTGCCCACTCCCTCATTGTTACCAAAAGCTACAGACTTAATCCAGGCTCCTGGCACTCACCCAAGCACTCCACACCAGCATCTTCCTTGTGTCCACAATCATTGTGTCTCCAGGATGTGGCAGGGCAATCCCACAAAGAGGACTCATTTCCTTTGCAATTCACTTCATTGAACCATATGGGCCCAGTTCCCTGACCAAACTTTGCTTCTTTAAGTGCCTTTGAAGCTGAGCCACAGCCCAGCTGTTGACACACCACCTCTGCATCTTCCATGTCCCAGGAGTCATCACACACTGTCCCCCAAGAACCTTCATGCCAGACTTCCACACGTCCGGAACAATTATTGATTCCTTCCTGAAGTCTTATCTTGTCTGAAAATTCATAGACACCTAGGTTATTTCTCCATTTGAGAAGATAAAATCTTCTAAAAGATCACAGAGGAAGAGACTTGAAACTATTTTTTTAAAAAGCAAATTTACTTCAAAACGTGTTTATTTAATGTGCTTTTTGAACTATATATTTTTGCAAGTTAATCTTTTATGAAAGTATACGCCCTGGGTATATTTCATCCTGGACATTATAATCATAGTGTGACTCAGGAAATGTCAACTGGATAAATTTGTCATTGTAAAACATATACTATTAAGTCATCTCAAATAGAAAAGAGCCTGAGAGATTATTGGGTAAGTAGAAATCTTCCAATTTAAGAAGATGTGGAATAGGGAATTATTGAAGGATTGATCTTTCTAACTGCTTCTCTCCTTACATTAGCTTCAAAAAAAAAAAAAAAAAAACCCAAACTCACTGCTGTCAGTGAGATCTGACTCATAATGACCTTGGGTTCCCAAGGTGGTATCACTACAGAAGTAGATTGCCCAATCTTCCTTCCAAGGAGTGGCTGATAGTTTTGAACTGCCAGCCTTCTGGTTAGCAGTCAAATGCCTTAGGCACTAGGCCCCTAGAGCTCCCTATATTAGCATAGCAAGATTATATTGTTGTTGTTAGTTACCGTGGAGTCAATTCTGACTCATGGCAACCACATATGTGCAGAGTAGAACTACTTCATGGGTTTTCCAAACGAGATCTTTTAGAAGCAATTTGCCAGGCCTGTCATCTAAGGTGCTTCTAGTGGCTTTGTACTGCCAACCTTTCAGCTCATAATTGAATGCTTAACCATTTGCACCATCCAGGAACTCTTAGCAAGATGATGTTTGAATGAAAAAAGGTAAGACAGACCACTCAACAGTCAAATACTCAATCTCATAATCTCTGTTCTTCATTTGTTCACAGAGAAAGCAATTGAATAAAATTTTCAAGCAGACCAAGGGGAGAATGATATTCTTTGAAATAATGGTCACTGATCTTGAATCCCTACAGGCCAAATGAAATAAAACAAAGTACCATCCAGCTAGAATAGGTATTAAACAGAGATTTCCCACCCTTACTTAATTAGCTCTAACAATTTAAACTGGCTGGAGAATAGGAAAATAAAATTTTGCATGTTTTCTCAGAACATGACAGTGGAGATACAGAGTGGAATTTCCATATAAGTAAGCCATTGGGTACTCACTGGCACATGTGATCCAGGTCTCCTCTGAGGGGCTGGCCAGTCTATACTTCCATGGAGATGATGGGCACTGCCATAATGTGTCAGGTCCTTTTGGGCACTGAACATGGTCCAACCACATGGGCCTAGACAGTGTCTTGTCTGAAGATGCAGGACTGATGCTCCCTCTGTCTGCACAGCCCAGTTGCCTGCATACCACTCCCACTGTGGTTGAAGACATGTCACTCCTGCCAATGCTGCCCCAGGTTCCATTGTAAAAAACTTCCAGACGCCCTGCACAGGTCTCCCTCCTGGTCTCACTGGTCAGTCTCAGAGACATGAATTCTGAGGTGAAATACAGAGTTAGTAATTATGCATCTTTTCTGAAGATTCAGAGGACCCCTATGTTTTACTCTAATGTGACTGTGGTTTTAAAAATAGGCATGTCAATAACTTGTAATTTTTTAGTAACTTTTGGGCAATTTAGTAAAATCTAATATTTGTTCTGGTAGCATAGTGGCTAAGACACTTGCCTGCTAACCAGACGGCTGGCGGTTCAAACCCACCAGACACTCCTCGGAAGGAAGGTTGGGCAATCCTACTTCCGTGGTGATACTGCCTCGGAAACCCAAGGAGGGGTCGCTAGGAGTCGGGGCCGACTCGACGGCACACAACAACAACAACAATATTTGTTCTATAAAATACCTTATTTCTTTCTAGTCCAGGGTTTTATACTCAGAGACTTCTTTAGAATGTCATCAATAAATTTAATTTACTTTCCAGATCTCATTCAAAGACTCAGAGCCTTTTCCAATTGAATAGTTTGGATTTTTTTCCTAAATTACACTTTAGGGAGTAATTTTAGCTTCAAGAGTCTCCCCTGCCCCCCCGCCCCCCCCCAAAAAAAAAACCTCACTGCCATCGAGTTGATTTGGACTCATAGAGACTCTTCCTTGGGTTTCTGACCCTTCTGAGGAGTAGCTGGTGGATTTGAACTGCCAGTCTTCTTGTTGGCAGTTAAATGCCTTAGATATTACACCACCAGAACTTCCTCCAGAGTCTTACTGTGTTCATTTTTTTCTTACAACCTCTCTTGACAGTTAAAATTGAGTGAGCAGAAAAAAGGAATTAATATCACCAATAAGGATTGTGATCCTTCTAACAAAAGGATCAAACAGTCAGCAATTACTTTAAAACAAAGATAAAAACGTAAGGGAGCAGTGAAACTAGATTAATGGAAACAGAATACCCAGAATGGAAATGATGAGAATGTTCACAGATTGTGAAGAATGTAATCAATGTCACTGAACAATGTGTGTGTAGGAATTGTTGAATGGCAACCTAAAGTGCTGTGTAAACTTACACCAAAAACACAATAAAATTAAAAAAAAAAAAATTATTGAGTGAGAAGGCACAAAAATACTCAGGTACTAAAACCAAAGTTTTATGAGCGTTACCTTAAAATGAAATAGCTCCTATCTTGACACTTCATGGTTTTGCTGTGCATATCTTCCACCAAAGTTATGTCATTAAATAAGAATTATATCAGAATCTCTTCTGGCATATAGAATTATTTACTTCCTTAAGTTAGTAAGTGATCGCATCATTTTCCCCAACATTACAACTGAATACATTTTCCTACACTACAATAGTTTCTAAAATTCTCTATGCATACAAAGCAAGAACAGTAGCCTCTTAGGGTAAAGTTTGCACTTATGACAGGTGAGTTTCACTGTTTGCCATGAAAAATTACCTGGGAATGGTACCTATCTTTTTCTTTGAAGAATGATGCATTAAATGTGTTTCTTCTCTTCCTCCTTAATCTACTGCTTTATTAGAGTTATGATTATCAAGTGGTACCACTGAACCCTGGTCCAGAATCCAACCCCATATTTATTTACAAAAGAAATCTTCATTGTTAACTTTGTTGTAATTTTCATGATGTGCAAAAGCCTACTAGATTTTTCTCTTTTGAATATTATACTATCTTGCATACTAACTCATCAAACCTGCCCTTTGGAGATAATGACTCCTACAATCTTTCCCTTTGACTTGCTTTTCAAGGTTTTTTTTTTTTTTTTTCAGATTAATATCCCTGACTACATTTTGTTCACCTCAGTCCTTTTTTATGTAATTGTTATCAGAGAGTATGTATAGAATTTACCTGAGCAGATAACTCCTGCATCTTCCTTATGCCTACAATTGTGCCGTCCCCAGCCATGTGAATGACACTGCCAAATATGTGATTCTTTTCCATTGCACCCCAGCTCATCCAGCCAGATGGGTCCTTTTCCTTGCCCAAAATAAGCAGAACCAGTGGCATTAATGGCCGCTCCACAGCCCAGCTGTCTGCACACCACTTGAGCATCACTCAGGTCCCAGCTGTCATCACAGAGGGTGCCCCAGGAGCCCTCATGATAGACTTCCACTCTCCCAGCACAACGACCTCCTCCATTGACTAGGCGAAGTTGGCTACTCCCTGAGAAAATAATAGAAAATATTAATAAAATGCATTCCTAAGGATTGAGATAATTTTCATAGATTGCTTGTGGATTCTCACCTATGCAGGCAGCACCAGTTTGTTCTGGAATGGGAGAACTTGTTGGCTCCGAGGAAGATGAATTGCACAGAGGTAATGTTTGAGTCTTGTTTCCTGCAAACACCAAATTGCTTAATCACACAAGACTCAAAGGGTTAGGGTGAGGAAAGAAAGTCACACGGGGTGTCATTACACATGAGCTGGGGACAGACACATTTTAGAAAGAGAAAGAGAGATATGGATAGGTCAATCAGACTTGGAATGAATAAGGTGCTTTGAGGAAGTACTAGATAACTACCACCACTCATCTGTCAGTTTGTTGTACTGTTATGGCTTGGTTGTTGCTGTGATGCTGGAAGCTACACAACTGGTATTTCAAATGCCAGTACAGTAGTCCATGGTATTTTAGCAGAATTTCCAAACTAAGGCAGATTAGGAAGAAGGACTTGGTGAGGTACTTCTAAAAAATTGTTCAGCGAAAACTTCATAAATAGCAGTGGAACATTGTCTGATATAGGGCCAGAAGGTGAGCCCCCTCAGGTTGGAAGGCATTCAGAATATTCCTGGGGAAGAGTTGCCTCTTGAAAATAGAGTTGACCTTAATGACGTGGATGGAGTAAAGCTTTTGGGACCTTTATTTGCTGATGTGCCATAACTGAAAATGTGAAGAAACAGCCACAGACATCCATTAATAATCAGAACATGGAATGCATGAAGTATGAACCTAGGAAAATTGGAAGTTGTCCAAAATGAAATGGAATGCTTGAAGATAGATATTGTAGGCATTAGTGAACTGAAATGGACTGGTATTGCTTTTTTGAATCTGACAATTATGTAGTCTACAAGGCTGGGAATGATGAATTGAAGAAGAAGCATGGCATCACATTCATTGTCAAAAAGAACATTTCAAGAAAATCTGTAGTGAAGTGTAACATTGTCAGTGATAAGATACTATCTATGTACCTACAAGGTAGACCAGTTAATACAACTATTATTCAAATTTATGCACCAACCACTAATGCCAAAGATGAACAAATTGAATATTTTTACCAACTTCTGCAGTCTGAAATAAATCAAACATGCAATCAAGATGCATTGCTAATTATTGGTGACTGGAATGCAAAAGTTGGAAACAAATAAGAAGGATCAGTATTAGGAAACTATGGCTTTGGTGATAGAAATGATGCCAGAGATCATATGACAGAATTTTGCAAGAGCAACTACCTATTCATTGGAAATACCTTTTTCAACAACATAAATAGTGACTATACATGTGGACCTCACTGGATGGTATTCATAAGAATCAAATCTGTGGAAAGAGATGAGGGAGAAGCTCAAAATTACCAGTGAGAACAAGCCAGAGGCTGACTGCAGAACAAACTCATACGCAAATTCAAGTTTAAGCTGAAGGAAATTTAAACAAGTCCATGAGAGCCAAAGCACAACCTTAAGTATATCACCTGAATTTAGAGATCTTCTCAAGAATATCTTTGATGAATTGAACATTAGTCACTGAAGACCAGTTGAATTGTGGGTTGCCATCAAGGCCATCATACACAAAGAAAGCAAAAGGCCATTAAGAAGACAGGAAAGAAAAGAAAAGACCAAAATGGATGGTAGAAAAGGCTCTGAGACTTGTCCTTGAATGCAGAGTAGCTAAAGTGAATAGAAGAAATGATGAAGCAAAAGAACTGAACAAAAGATTTCAAAGGGTGGCTCAAGAATACAAAGCACAAACTCCAGTTCAAAGACTGGGAATTAGAAAACCAAAAGGGACGAACGTGCTCAGCATTTCTCAAGCTGAAAAATCCTAAGAAAAAAAGTCAAGCTTTGCGTTTCAATACTGAAGGATTCTATGGTCAAATACTGAATGATTTGGGAAGGAATACACAGTCACTGTACCAAAAAGAATTGATTGACACTCAACCATTTCAGGATGGAGTATATGATCAAGAATCAATGGATTGAAGGAAGAATCCAAGCTACACTGAAGGCATTGGTGAAAAACAAGACTCCAGGAATAGATGGAATATCAGTTGAGATATTTCAACACACAGATGCAATGCTAGAAGCACTCACTCATCCATGCCAAGAAATTTGGAAATCAGCCAACTCATAAATAGACCTTCCAAGATCCATATTTGTGCCAATTCCAAAGAAAGGTGATCTAACAGAACACGGAAATTATTGAACAATAGAAATGGCTGGTAGGTTTGAACTGCCAGCCTTCTGGTTAGCAGTCAAATGACTTAGGTACTACACTACTAGTACTACATGAAGAACACAGCATCAGGATGTGAGGAAAATTCATTAACAACCTGCAATATCCAGATGACACAATCTTGCTTACTGAAAGTGAAGGGGACTTGAGCATTTACTGATTAAGACTGAAGACTTCAGTATGGAATATACCTCAACATAAAATAAATAAATAAATAAATCCTTACAACAGGACCAATTAGCAACATCATAATAAATGGAGAAAATATTGAAGTTGCCAAGGACTAAATTTTACTTGGATCCATAATCAATGCCTATGGAAGCAGCAGCCAAGAAAACAAACGTCGTATTGCATTGCACAAATCTGCCACAAAGGACTTCTTTAAAATGTTAAAAAAAAAAAAAAAAAGCAAAGATGTCACTTTGGAGACTAAGGTGTGCCTGACCCAAGCCATGGTATTTTCGGTCACCTCATGTGCATGCAAAAGCTGAACAATGAATAAGGAAGACCAAGGAAGAATTGATGCCTTTGAGTTATGATGTTGGCAAAGAATATTGAATATACCATGGACTGCCAGAAGAATGAACAAATCAGTCCTGGAAGAAGTGCAGCCTGAACGCTCCTTAGAAGTGAGAATGGCCAGACTTTGTCTCACCTACTTTGGTCATATTGTCAGAAGGGACCAGTCCCTGGAGAGGGATATCATGTTTGGTAAAGTAAGGGGTCAGTGAAAAAGGGGAATATCCTTAATGAGATGGATTGGCACAGTGGCTGCAACAATGGGTGCAAACATAGCAACTATTGTGAGGATGGTGCAGGATTGGCCAGTATTTCATTTTAGGGTCGCTATGAGTTGGAACTGCACCTAACAACAACAAAATAACTATGAAGTTCATGAAAATTAAGTTCACTATCAGTCTTAAGAAACAAATGAGGATAATATTCTGACACACTTATGAGGATCTCTGAAAACAGACCATTTCCCTTTCTTTTACTTCTTCATCCCTATCTGTGTAACTGTTCTTAAGGCACACCAGCATGGAACAGGTTCATCATTGTCTGTCCTTCACCCTCTTACCTGAGCATATTACCGAGGCCACTTGCCCTGCAGGACATAGCGATGCCCCCAGAGCAGTTACTGGACAATCTCCCATGTGCTGTTCAGTCCCAGTGCAATGATACATGTGTCTCCAGACCTGACCACTTCCTTTACCAAAATGTGCCCCTCCTGGGGTAGAAAGGGCAATTCCACATTTAAGCTGCTGGCAAATGACGTGGGCATCTTCCATGTCCCAATGAGAGTTGCAGAGGGACCCCCAGGCCCCAAGCATTTTGGTCTCTACTCTTCCCTCACATGGAGTCTTGCCATTGACCAAGCGGATATCTGTGTATCCTGAAAAGAGACAGTCCTTTAGAAAAGAAGGTTATTATTACCTACCCCAGGTCTTTCACAGTATGGGAACAAATTGAAGTTGTTCTCTGGGTCTTACTTGAGCAAATGACACCAACATCCCTGCTGTGGCTACAAGTCCCCTCTGGGCGGGGTGCTACTGGGCAGAGTGAAAGATGAGACTCGTTGCCCTCACACTGGAATTCTTCAGCCCAGATCTGTCCACTTCCTTCTCCAAAGTGAGCTCCCCCCAAGATAGAGACAACTGTCCCACATTGTAACTCCCTGCACAGCACACTGGCAGCTTCGAGAGAGAAGTCAGAATCACAGACAGAGCCCCATGTGTCTCCATGTTTCACTTCAACACGACCAGAGCAGGGAATGTCCCCTCCAACCAATCTTGGTTCCCTGTGGGCTGAAAAATAACACTTCAGTGAGACAGAACATAGTTCCCAGGTCTTCCCTCTTGATAGGGGTGAGGAAAGGAGTGAAGAATTGGAAGGAGAGACCAAGGTGCCCAATGATTTTCCATACTTGTTTTGATTTTTCCACCTAGAGTTGAGATAACAAATTCTAGACCCCCTAATTCTTCACTGAACTAATCCAATTCAAAGGGAATTCTCGAATTGGGCCTCCAACCATCCCCAGAGTCATGACAATAACTCATTCTTTCCAGTGTTTTACTTGCATTATTCACAACATAAAAGACCACAGCCTAAGATCCCTGGACGTACTATATACCCACTGTCTCCACCTCTTAGTTCTGCACTCGGTCTTCCACTCACTGCAATCTGGATTCTGCCCCAACCATTTTGAACGGTTCTATATAAACTTTTTCAATGTATTTCCATTTTTCAAAATGAACATCAGACCCTTTCCTTTCATTGTGACCCCTGTCTCTCCTGCTTTCTCCTCCTTCCAAGCAGACAATACCTTATCAGAATCCTTCACTTATTCCCAAATCTAAGATTCTGTCCTCAGTGATCTTATCACAGAGTTCAGTCTATCAGTGAAGATAAATAATGTTGTTGTTGTTGTTAGGTGCCATTGAGTCATCTCCGACTCAGTGACCCTATACACAGCAGAATGAAACACCACCCGTCCTGTGCCAGCTCCATCATCCCTACTATACTTGAGCCCATCGCCGCAAGCCACTGTGTCAATCCATCTCATTGAAGGCCTTCCCCTCTTTTGTTGACCCTCCACCTTACCAAGCATGACATCCTTCTCCAGGGAATGGTCCCTTTTTACAACATGACCAAAGTAGGTGAAGCGAAGTCTGGTCATTCTCGCCTCCAAGAAGCATTCCAGCTGCACTTCTTCCAGGGCAGATCTGTTAGTTCTTTTAGCAGTCCATGGTACTCTCAGCATTGTTTGCCAACACCACAACTCAAAACCATCAATTCTTCTTTGGTCTTCCTTATTCATTGTCCAGCTCTCACATGCATATGAGGTGACTGAAAATACCACAGCTTGTGTCAGGTGCCCCTTAGTCCTCAAGGAGACATCTTTGCTCTTCAGTACTTGTCAGAGGTCCTTTGCAGCCAATTTGTCCAGTGCTGTATGTCATCTGATGTCCTGACTGCTGCTTCCACTGGCATCGATTGCAGAACCAAGCAATGTGAAGTCTTTGACAATTTCAATCTTTTCTCCATTTATCATGATGCTGCTTTTAGGTCCAGTTGTGAAGATTTTTGTTTTCTTTACATTGAGATGTAATCCATACTACAGACTGTATTCTTCAATCTTCATCAGTAAGTGCTTCAAGTCATCCTCACTTTCAGCAAGCAAAGTTGTGTCATCAGTGTATTGCAAGCTGTTAGTGATTTTTCTTCTAATCCTGATGTCACATTCTTCTTCATATAGTCCAGCTTCTTGGATTATTTGCTCAGCATACAGATTGAAAAAGTGTGGTGAAAGGATACAACCCTAATGCACTCCCTTCTTGATTTTAAACCATGCAGTGTCCCCTTGTTCTGTTCAAACGATAGCCTCCTGGTCAAGGTACAGGTTCCTCATGAGTACAATTAAGTGTTCTGGAATTCCCATTCTTCTCAATGTTATCCACAATTTGTAATGATCCACACAATCGAATGCTTTTGCATAGACAATAAAACACAAGTAAACATCTTTCTGATATTCTTTGCTTTCAGCCAAGATCCATCTGACATCAGCAATGATATCCCTCATTCCATGTCCTCTTCTGAATCCAGCCTGCATTTCTGGAAGTTCTCTGTCAATATACTACTGCAACCGTTTTTGAATTATCTTCAGTAAGATTTTACTTGCATGTGATAGTAACGATATTGTTTGATAATTTCCACATTCTGTGGGATCACCTTTCTTTTGAATGGGTACAAATATGGATCTCTCCCAGTCAGTTGGCCAGGTAGCTGTCTTCCAAACCTTTTGGCACAGCCGAATGAGTGACTCCAGAGGGACATCTTTGGGTATTTGGGTATTTGGGTATTTCATCAATTCCTGGAGTCTTGCTCTTCCCCAATTCCTTCAGTGCAGCTTTGACTTCTTCCTTCAATACCATTGGTTCTTGAACATATGCCACTTCCTGAAATGGATGAAGATTGACCAGCTCTTTTTGGTACAGTGACTCTGTGTATTCCTTCCCTCTTCTTTTGATACTCCCTGCATCATTCAATATTTTGCCCGTAGAATCTTTCAATATTACAACTCGAGGCTTAAAGTTTTTTCTCAATTCTTTCAGCTTGAGAAATGCCTGGTGTGTTTTCTCCTTTTGGTTTTCTAACTCCACATGTCTCCAAATGTCTTTGCATATTTCATTATAGTAATTGGTTTTGTCTTCTCAAACTGCCTTTTGAAATCTTCTGTTCAGCTCTTTTGTCTTGTCATTTCTTCCATTTGTTTTAGCTACTCTTCACTCAAGGGCAAGTTTCAGAGTCTCTTCTGACATCCATTTTGGTCTTTTCTTTCTTTCTTGTATTTTTAATGACCTCTTTCTTTCTTCATAGATGATGCTCTTGATGTCATCCCACAATTCTTCTGGTTTTCAGTCATTGGTGTTCAATGCATCAAATCTATTCTTTAGATGGTCTCTAAATTCAGGAGGGACATATTCAAGGTCATCTTTTGGCTCCTGTGGACTTGTTTTAATTGTTTTCAACTTCAACTTGAACTTGCGTTGTAACTGGAGCAGTTGATGGTCTGTTCCACAATCAGCTCCTGGCTTTGTTTTGGCTGAAGATATTGAGCTTTTCTATCGCCTCTTGCCACAGGTGTAGTCAATCTGATTCCTGTGTACTCCATCTGATGAAGTCCACATATATAGCTGCTGTTTGTGTTGTTGGAAAAAGGTATTTGCAATGAATAAGTCGTTGGTCTTGCAAAATTCTAGCATGTGATCTCCAGCGTTATTTCTGTCACCAAGACCAAAATTTGCAGCTACTGATGATTCTTCTTTGCTTCCAACTTTTGCATTCCAGTCGCCAGTGATAATTAATACATCTTGATTGCATGTTTGGTCAATTTCAGACTGCAGAATTTGATAAAAATCTTCAGTTTCTTATCTTTGGCTTTGGTAGTTGGTGTGTAAATTTGGGTAATCTTAGTATTAACGGGTCTTCCTTGTAGGTGTATGGATATTATCCTATCACTGACAACATTGTCAGTGCTAATAGCATAATAGATAAATAATAACAATAATAAAAATTATAATAGTTTTTGCTGTTAGTTGCTGTCAAGTTGATTCTTACTCAGGCTAACCCCACACGTACAGTAGAACTGTGCTCCATAGGGTTTTCAGTTGCTGACTTTTTGAAAATAGATCACCAGGCCTTTCCTCTGAGGTTGTTTTGGGTGGGTTTAAACAGTCAACCTTTCAGTTTTCACTACCCAGGGACTCAATAATAGGTGTAGTAGTTAACATTTATTAATCACTTGTGTGATTCCTGTGAGGTAGGCATTGAATTATCCCCATTTTTCTTTTGGGGAAACTGTAGCATCAAGAGCTTTAGTACCTTCCCCAGTGTCATCCAATTATCAAAATTAAGGAGCAATGATAAACACTAATTCCTTAGCATACTTTACAGTCTTACCTTAAAAGTTGCAATATCTATTACTATATCAATTGACCCTATGCCCCAGCCTAAAGATCCCTAGGCATGCTAGATTTTTCTCATGCTTCTGTTCCTCTTCAGAAAAAACTCACTCTGTTTATAATTTATTTTCCTATCTTGGAATGTATTTCCTATATAATGTATTTTCCTACCTGGAAAAGGCTATTTCTTTTCATAGCTACTTAATTTCTCCTTATTAGCCCCCTTACCCAATTATTCAAATAATAATCTGATAAATCCAAAAATAGAAATTTGTGTCATATACAAAAGTAACAAATAAAGAGGTCATTAACTCTGGGGCCACATAAGAGAACACCATAATCTAAACTAAGTTTTAAGATACAACGAAGACTTAGAGTTTGGCAAGTAAGCAACCTGTGAAATAGCATTTAAAGAACACAGTCATGAAATAATGTGGTGTAATTGAGGAATTATAAGTAATTTAGTATAGCCAGAATTTAAAACATAAAGAAAAGAGATGCCAGAGGTAAAGCTGAAGAAATGGGGCTTGGATTGTGCTCAGAGGGGCTGTTAGGCTAAGATAAAGAACACAGTCATCCAGATAACTAAGAGATTCTTTGAAAATAAAAAACAAACCATTGCCGTTGAGTTGATTCTGACTCATAGTGACCCTATAGGACAGAGTAGAATTGTCCCATATGGTTTCCAAGGCTGTAATCTTTTATGGAAGCAGACTGCTACATATTTCTCCCATGGAGCAGCTGGTGGATTTGAACCAACCGCCTTTTGGAACCAACAGAGTGCTTTAAACATTGCACCACCTGGGTTCTTTTTCTTTGAAAATACTCAGAGGCAGTTTAAGTTACTTGGGCAATATAAACAATTCCCTTTGAGTCTTTTTATTATCAGAAAGGAAATGCATTTTAAATTGCATCTCAAAAAGCATATAAGCCTTTGTAGTTGCCTGTTGTCAAACATTACTCATTCTTACGATCCCTTGGCACTACATCAACATGATATAAGTACCCACTGGACCTTGACAGCTTCTTAAAATGTTTTAGAAAATGTTCCAGATATGACTACCTCCTGTATCATAGCAGTATAGAATGTCTTGTTGTTGTTGTTGTTATGTGCCGTCGAGTCGGCCCCGACTCATAGCGACCCCTCCTTGGGTTTCCGAGGCAGTATCACTACGGAAGTAGGATTGCCCAACCTTCCTTCCGAGGAGTGGCTGGTGGGTTTGAACCGCCAGCCGTCTGGTTAGCAGGCAAGTGTCTTAGCCACTATGCTACCAAGAGTGTCTTAGCACATCAAAATGTCACCCTATTAAATCTATGCAAAGCAAGTTCTCATATAAATTTGA